ATCTATTGTCAGTCAGTGCCCAGTTTTAGATGGTGCACACTTCCTGTGGAAGTGCATTTGGACAGAGACTGATTAGGTAGTGACACGGCCACACCGCAGCTTGAAATTTGACACCTTAGCCACACATCTCGGCGACAGTTCACGGCTGCTGACTTGTGCGTTGGTCTTTGTCTTCAATCAGATTGCAAGTCGTCCGTCGACACAGGCTGGCTTGCACTCCGCGGAGATCATCCTCCAAGTCCAGGCTTGCACAGGAGAGCGGGCATTTTCTGCGCGACCCGGTGTTTGCCTAAGGCGGATTGGCTCTCCAAGACACCGAAGCCTTCTATTGAAGGTGAGATGCCGAAGGCCACTGCTGCTCTCGTAGAGCCTTTCACTATGTGACAGCTTCGTTTGGTAAGAGTTCGCGAACATCACCTTCCCAGCCCTTCCGGTTTCGTGAGACGAAGGTCCCGTCCATCACCGGAAAGACGAATACTGGAGATGAATCTTCTTAACGGGAATGCGTCTTCTTTCATGTAGAATCTGCAAGTTCCGGTGTGTTGGGCGATGAATTTTGATGGTTATGGCCCGGTTGTTGTGGAGATGACGAGTCTGTTATAATGCTGAAAGTCGGGGACGAGCTCTGCTGCTGCTGTTGCTGCTGCCGTCTGCTCTTGACTTGCCAAGGAACATCATCAAGAGCATCATAACTCATCCCACGCTCCCCCAATCACACCACCAAAAACTCACAACCATCACGCTCGATTCTGTTGGTCTCTTGACCCTTGAGCCAAGTTCGCACCGATTTGTGCGTGTCATCCTTGCGCGGGTGCCATGCACCCATGCACGAACTCTGAGGACTTGCTTGACCTTGGTACACTTCTCGGATTTGTGCTTGCTTCACAAACACTCCTCCTCAGCGTACACTTCAAACGTCATTTGTGCTGTATGCTGCCTCGAACATGTAAGCACAAACTCCCTACGACTAAAGATTACTTTGATCGCCCTTTTCATGCAAAGCTTCGGCAAAACCGGTGAGTCATGCACATGTCGGAGCTCTCCACCACTCTCCGGGAAGTGAAAGCTCTCCATGTCTCTAAACTCGGAAGCTGAACTGAGGAGACCTGAGAAGTGTCTCATGTCAATCTGCTCGTTGTGCAAAACGTGTTAGGTTTGCTTGTGGAGTCCGGCTTTCTCTCGAAGGATTTGTAACCGGACCCTGGGGAGAGTCTTCGTGAGGAGATCTGCCACCAAGGTTTCCCCCGGCTCGGATGACCGCAGCTCCAAGATCGTGAATTGAATCACGCAGCCAACTGGTTCAACTTGCTCGTAATGCAACCCCCCGCGTCTTCCACTTCAAAGGCTGAAAGCTCTCCGTCAAAGCCAGAATGATAGCAGCTGAGTTGTCACATCTCAGCGTGATGTGAAGCGCATGTCCCAACAGCTGGTCCATTGCTGTTTGCATGCGACCTCCTTGATTCAAACACTCCGACATGGCAACCGTCTCTGCTTCGGTGGCTGACCACGCCGTGAGCGTCTGCTTTGTGGATGCCCAATCAAGAATACTAGATCCTCTCATGTACACCATCCCAGACCTTGACCTTCCAGCAGCTGGAGCAAATGACGCGTCAGAGAAACATGTGAACTCCTGTATGTCCTGCCGCACCTTCCTTGTAGGTGAGGCAGACATCCAATGTTCCACGGCTGTACCGCCGTACATGACGAAGCAATTGCAATACCCGCTTAGGCCTATGAGTCAACTCCGATGCCAAAATTCCTACCGTGCTGGCTATGTCAGGTCTTGACCGTGCACTCATCCACAGAAGTGTTCCTAGCTCTCGCTGACACTCAAGCTTATTCTGTTCATACGCCTCGTCCTTCGCTTCGTCATCGTCAAGCTCAAGTTGTGGCAAGCTCGTACAGCCTTTAAGATGTAACCATTGTCGTCGATGAAGCTCCTGAAGGATCCAAGCACGCTGGTTGATGATCACATCGCCCTGCGCGTTGAAGCTAACTTGCACTCCAAGGAAAACTAGTTCTGCCTTTCTCTCCAATTGTCCCAGCTCGCCACACTTGATATCACACTCTTTTCGGCTGATGTACCCCTGGAGTTTCAATGTCTACTTTTGCCCAATATACTCCAGGCACCTTGACACCACCTCGGGGCAAGCTATGATCAATGTATCGTCGATGAAAAACGTCAACAATCCCATCCAAGCTCCCGTATAAATGTCAATGATTCTCCAAAGCCCCTCGCAACTGTCAAGCGGTTCCAACCTCACCGCCGGCATCACATCACCCGTCCGAGGTTTGATAACGCTCCCGTTCAGAGTAACATCCCGGTCCCTCGACCATTCTTTTGGGGAGATTCGCAAGCCATAAAGCGCCTTTAAGGGAAGGTACTTAACCCCACGTGGCACAAGATTCAAGCGTTTCATGATGGCCGGCGGGTCCAAGAGTGGTGCTTCACCTCGTTGTAGCACGCTATTGAGAAATGCTGTCGAGATGTCTGCTGCACCTGCTATCCAAGTCGGTTCCTGAGCAAATTTGTGATACATTGTACGCACAATCCAAGGTGGCACATTCTCTGTCGATAGTTCGTCTTCGCGAATTCATTGCTTTGAAAGTTGCCGCATGCAACTAAACGTGCTTTCTCCATGTATACTTGTTCGCCAATGCCCTCCTCCGTGCTGCCAGGTGCTGCAAGCGGTTTTTCAGATAATACTAGTTTCATCAGTATGGTTCGGGGGATCTTTTCGCCAGCTTCCAATTGCAGATCCTCCCGTTCATGACCCACTCGTACCGGCAAGAGTACCTCCTTGTTCTCAACACTAGCCAACTCTTTCTGCACGGCACTAATCCACCGCTCAGCGGCAGCGCGTTCACCTGTCAACACAGAATTCGGCACCACCTCAGCTAATCCACGACGTTGCTCCGCTTCACGCATCAACTGTTGAAAGATCTCTTCCGTTTCATGCTCCTCCTCGTCGGTCCTTGTGATGTACTTCTCAGGCTTGTCAGCTTCAAGTTTTGTTGAAGTTAACACTGCTCTGCATGCAACTGCTCGCATGAATTTATGACCAAATGATTCCTCACTTTCGTCGCTTCCTCACTTTCGTCGCATTGCACCTGATGGGCTTCTGCAGTTTCTTCTTGAACCAGCAATCCGTGTCCGTACAAGTTAAAGATATCGCGCACCGAGTCAGGAGTACGCGTCCTATCCAAAAGTTGTCGGAGACTTGTCAACATATCGTCAACTTGCAGGATATGCCCACCTTGCTTCTGTTCTGCCGTCACGATCTCTTCAGGTCCTGGTGTGTTAAATGCAACATGACCGCGATCCGATACCCAGATATTCTCACCTGAATCCGGCTTTGTGATCACACGCCAACGCGGTTTGACCTGCTTCAACAGAATGGGCAACCGTGCAAATCGAACTACCACTCTCATCTCTCTGGACAGCGACCTTGGAACCATTGGATATATGATCTGTCAGCACGAGGAACATTTCGCGTTCTGTCCGGTCTTCAAAAACGGGCATGTTTTCAACTGGCTTTCGGACCAAAACAAAGTCCCCTCGGATAGGCAGATCTTTTGGTATCGGAAGGCGAAGCTGTCGCATCCGCTTGAGCTTTGCAGCATGCACCATGACTTCATCCCAGAATCTCACATCCAGCTGCCCGCTCAAGAGCAACGACGCAGTTGAAGTTTTAAGCGAACCTAGCAACTGCTCAATTATGCCATTGCTCTGATGCGAATACGGTACCGCAAACGTGCGGAAGTGATTGAACGTCTTGAGATCTTCATGCGCAATCTTGGAAACGAACTCCTTGCTTTGATCTGAACGGATACGAAAATTGATCTGCTCCCCTCCTGCCAATGATACAAGTTGAAGAAGCACATCCCGCAACGCGTCCGTGACGGTCTTGGCTTCCTTATATGGAAGATCAACCCCACAACAACAGCAAATTTGTTGTCTGCATAGGTTTGCTTATGCGGCCCACTGAGGTCAACCGACACGACTCCTTCACCAATGTCCTGTCCCGAAAGCTTCCGGTGAGGCCTCCTATGTCCCCGAGCCCTCCTTGAGCTCTCATCGCCCTTCTGGTAAATACCTTCGCGGTAGCATTTCCAGAGATCCTTAACAGCACGCTCTTCAATGCTTTCAGCTTTCAGGTGTTCAAGATCCCATGGTTCCACGGGCGCTCCTGGGTGTGAAACCTCTTCTACCTTAAACCCTTCAACCTTCAGACCCTCATCATCAACGTCAAGTGTGAAAAAATTCGTGGCAAAGTCGCACTCTGAGATTGACGCTTTGCACGCAAGCAGGCTCTTGACTTCTTCCTTTCTCTGCTGCTGCGACAGAATGGATGTAGAAGATTGCGTCTCCTCCTCAGGAGTGGCATGTGTGCATACCCGGACATCGCTCGGAATTCTAAACCCCAGCTTGCTCAACACTCCAAGGTCAGATTCATTCAGCTTGCAATGCACACCATCTGATTTCCTTCATATGGCTCGGTGCCATGCCAAGCTGTTCCCTGAAATGTTGTGGAACGTCCGTCTGCCAACTGATGCAGCCTTCCAGGTAGTGCTTTGCCACCTTCGCGAACATATCGCCATACGGTCTGATCATCATACTCTCCTCCCACGTTCTCCGTCCACAGCTGACCCCCACAGAAAGATGTAAGTCCAGAAATTGTGGTTTTGTACTGTCCATCGTTAGGATCACGATAAGGAATGAATGTGACCACTACTGTTGCGAAAGGCTCCGATGACTTTCCCACCATGTAGCGAGCAATGGCCCTGGCCAGATGAGTTCTCTGACGAAGCAAGGAAGTCAATCCATTCTTCCCTCCGTGTACGAATACCCCGAAAATCCACATCCTTAGAAACCCTTCCTGCCCCACAACTTTTGAGCTCCGCCTCGTGGTAACAAGCTTCAACTCTGCGAGCTTGATCAATTTAACCAGCTCATCATGGCGAATCGGGATGTCACTTCGCAATCTTTCCCTAGCTGCTGCTTCAGCTGTGTCCGCTACTGCTTTGGCAACCTCTACTACACTCTCCTCCTCAACCTGTGGAGGCCATTCCAGGACCTCCTGCTGCTGCTCTGCCTTTGCTTTGTGCACGCAGATGCCCTTCATGTTGGTTGTATGTGCTCTTGAAAGTGCAATCCGAAGTAGCTTCCAATCATCCCATCGAAGATAGGGGAGCCCATTAACAATCCAACATGTGCAACGCTTTCGCTCTTGCGTGAAAGGATGAGGAAAAGTGAGAGTAGCCTCCTCGGGCCCCCACTCGAAGCGGCCTCCCGACGCTACCACTTTGCAGACTCCTACGATCCAATCAGTCTGTCCCTGCTGGTAAACAAACTTCCCCGTGGCGATTCAACACAGCAGAGATACTTTCTCCTGATGCCAAGGTCACGCTCAGCTCTTGACAACGATCCCGCGGTCCAGCTGGACGAAGAACTTGATTAGCTCCCGAGTCCACCAAAACCAGATCTGCAGGAGATTTGCGAAATTCACCTCCCGCTGCCCTCACTTCAGCCATGCGTAGCTGGGGTTCTGAATCTGGTTCTCCTCCTGGTAGTGACTCTTCAACGGGTTGTGGATGGACTCTTCGCCGGGCCCATTCCCAGACATCAGGCAGCATATCATCTACCGTGATGTTTCCACCATTGATGGCCTCTGCTGCCATCCGAATCTTCTTCCTAGGAACTAATGGAATTCCTATGAGAACACAGACAAATGATCCAGGGCATTGCACATGCCAATCATTCGAATGAGGTCGTTCTCCTCCTGAGGTTCAATGCCAATTTGAGGCTCTTCCTCAGAACATGTTGACTGACTACGGGCATCAGCGAACGAAACCGAAGAGTCCTCTTGTTCTGTGACTTCGGGTTCAGGTGGTGATCCGACATACCTCCTATACCACAACCACTGCAACTCGACCTCATTAGAGATCTTAATCCACAGCGATCCGTCTGATGGCAAATCAACGTGATCTATTTCCCATCCCAAAACCGAAATCCCTGAGCCAACACCGTTCAAAGCATAGTGATTCCAGACCGCGATTTCCAGCTTCGGCGCGTCGCCCCGCGAAGGAAACAACTCGGTCCATTCAAGCGTGTGCAGCAACCTCCCCGTGGAACAGAAATGGTCATATTCATTCAATGAGAGTCGCATGATCCACACAGTTCCAACAGAGTCAAAAGGTTGCAGAGGAGCTTCAGCTCTAAGCATGTTGGCTTGGTCCTAGCTGTTTTTGCCTCAGCGCCAACCAATGCAGCTGCCTTTGCCCTGGGTTCTGGTTTTGCCGCTTCTGCTGCCTTTGCTTTGGCCTCAGCTTTAGCTTCGGCCTTAGCTTCGGCTTTGGCTTTTGCTTTGGCTTCCTTAGCTGTCGCTGCTGCCTCTGCTTTTGCATGCCCGGTGTCGGTCGATGATGGTTTCCCTTTACGATCCCCGCTTTCCAGCACTGGGTTTCACATTCTTGAAAGGACAATCGTTTCCTTTGTTACACCCTTTCTCGGTACCAAAATACCAACAAACACGTCTTGCATCTTGTGATTCCGCTGCCTTGCCTTTTCCTCTGCCTTTGCCTTTGCCCTTGAGCTGCGCTGCAACAGTGTACTCATAGTCTTCTGTCCCGGTCCCAGAACGGCTTGTCCGAACATCCTCTTCTGCACCCATTCGGCGCGCCTCTGTTTCCAGAGTTGCTACCAAGGTGTTCAAACCAGCTTCCGAAGGAACAATGAACTCAGGCGATAAGCGAAGCAAGTTCGGACGCGTAGCTGAACTAGCCTGCTTACTCTCCAGCTTCTTAGTCATAGCATTCGATGCAACCAACTCATGGGGCGCGATGCCAGGCAAACCCAGCGTAGCAGCACGTGTTCTTGCCAGCTTCATGCGATGCAGGGTGGCCAACAAATCCTTAAATCTTGTGAAGTTGCTCTGGAAGTATCCGCATCAGAGTGAGCGACAGTCGATTCTCCATCTCCTCGCAATGCGATGTCACGGGCGGCGCCTCAATGTCCTCTGGTTTCAGCTGTATTTGTCTGGCATCATACCGACTTTTGGCCGTTTCCAGGTGCTTCAGGAAATACTGGTTGAACTCAAGAGCTACACAAGATGCAACGGTGGTAAACTCGGAGATCCGTTGCAGCTGCAAACCACATTCCCAAGGCTCCCCAGAGGGCATGTTCAGCGATGGCACATCCTGAAGCAACTTCCACTGCCCAGCCTTGATCTCTACAGCCTTAGTCGGCCGTCGCAAGTGCTCTGAAGGGATTGGTGGGTCAGACAAGGTTTCTAACCCAGGAGGTTGTTCCCATCCTGGACCCTGAATGGCCTCATCATTCCACCACTCATCTTCTTCTGAAGCTTGAAGCTGCGCTGCAGTGGTGTGTTGCTGCTCATTGTGTGTTGTACGGGCTCCTGCGTTACAGGAGGGCGTCTACCCTCTTGCTCTGATGCTTCGGCCCCCGCATACTCTGGCAGTGAAGTGTTCATGCCCTGATCACGTACCCCACTCCCTGGCATAGCAGACAGATGCCTCGCAATTGTCTCCACATGCTGCCGTAGCTTCGTGACCGTTTCCTCATGCTGGCGTAACTGCAATGCACTTCGCTCCAAAGCAGATAATCGTGCCATGATCTCTTCATGCCTTCTATTAAGTTAGATGTATCCATTTGCTGATCCCATCTAACATCCAGCTCTCTCTGATAACGTCCAATCTGTCCAACCTCGCCTTGCAACAAAGACAAATTCTCAGCCATCAGATTTGTTTGAGCACCAAGGACTGTCCTAGTCTCAAACATCTGCAGTGCACTTTGCATGTGTTTCAGATCTTCAAGACAGCCACTCACATGACGCATCATTTCCTCTCGCTTGACCTCTCCAGCAGCTGTCTGCCTCTGTAAATCGGTCAAGTGATCCTGCAGCGATGTGATGCCTCCCATTTGGAACTGGACGGCTCGCGCCAGCTGATTTGACCGGCCTTCCAAGTCACTAGCAACTGCATGCATTGCATTCCTCAAGTGCTCAATGTCTGGCATTTGCTCCAACTGCACATGATGCTGTTGTAGCTGCTGCAACATCTGCAAAAGTCCTTGGGGAATCACCATTTGGGACATCTGCTGGAAGCGAAGGCTTCCTGAGGAATCTGCATGGCCTGCTGAAGCGGTGTTGAGCTGCAGGTTCGATGCTGATGCTTGCGAAGCTCCAAGCGCTAGGCTTGGGCTCATAACCTGATGGTTATGGCCCGGTTGTTGTGGAGATGACGAGTCTGTTATAATGCTGAAAGTCGGAGACGAGTTCTGCTGCTGCTGTTGCTGCTGCCGTCTGCTCTTGACTTGCCAAGGAACGTCATCAAGAGCATCATAACTCATCCCACGCTCCCCCAATCACACTCCCAAAAACTCACAACCATAACACTCGATTCTTTTGGTCTCTTGACCCTTGAGCCAAGTTCGCACCGATTTGTGCCTGTCATCCTTGCGCGGGTGCCATGCACCCGTGCACGAACTCTGAGGACTTGTCCTTACACTTCTCGGATTTGCTCTCGCTTGCCAAACAAATTTCAAGCGTTGTGAGCATTTTGGCAGTTGCAGCAGATGGAACTGCTCCAATACGCGTGGTGTCAATGGCACCTCGTAGATCGGCTTGTTTGGGCCTTGTCTTTTACAACGCAGAAAGACAACGAAGGAGAGAGCGGACAGAGATATACCTTGTCGGTCGTTGAGTCGTAGCCGTGCAGGAGTGGCCTTCCTTTCCGGTCCTAACCCCACACCCCTGCTGTGAGCAGAGTCCAAATTAATCCAAGGGACATGTATCATTCGTCCACGGGCAGCGCTCGAGAACCATCGCACTTCTGCATGCTGTCATGCAGAAAGAAAAGCTATCGTAGCAAATGTACGTGCGCCATCTCAAGGGTCCAATTGCCACGACACGAGGTAGCTAATGCCTGCGACCGGGCTTCGACTCTGAGCTTCGGTCTCTTCTCGCCGCTCCCAATGCAACTCCCTCCTGGCTTGTTAAAGACAGTTTGCCAGTTCTGCAATGTTTTCTTAGCGACAGATTTTCGGCAGGTCCCGGAGGAATCGCCTCGGCATCGACCTGCTAGTTGTCGCGACTTTGGATGTCTCTGTGAAGCGGTTATCTGTTTGGTTTGTTTATGCCGCTTTTCCTCGTGATTCACATCTCAGCCATGAGATGAACTTCTCCATCTCCCCCCACGGTTGTTTTCCTGCCTGCTTGGCTTGATGAGATAAGCTTGCAGAGAGCCGTGCATTGCCTTTCGGCCGGAGAGGCATTCGAGAATCGCATGATCGGTGTGGTGTTGATTTCAGAGACACGCTCTTTTTGTACACATGTCGGTGTCATTGTCCTTCGAGGCATGCATCCTAGCTTCATTCGACCGCGACCACCACGTTTAAGCTAGAGCCGTCTTGGATTCATTCCACCTGGACCCAAGCCCACACAGCCGGAGCCGAAAGGAGAAGTCGGGAGTGCCAACCTGCAGTGACCATGGAGTCATGAAGTGATAGTTTTCCTTAGGCTCCCTACGCCCTATGCATTGTGTTTAACAGCATGCAGCAGCACTGTCACCCGTTACCAGTCGAGATGCAAGCCGCGAGACTCCAGGCCAGTGTAAGCGAAGGTTTCGGAGGCAGAAGTTGTCTATCAGGCTTCTTTTTTCTTTCGACTGTAGAGTCTTTGGAGGCCACTTGTTGGTCAGGTGAAAAGCCGACCGCTGCTGCTGACTGTGTCCTGCGGCGGTGCAGCCCCTCCTCCACTTGCTGGCCGGGTCCCAGAGATGCCGCAGCTAGCCATAGCATGCGCTCAGATGAGTGCTCTGGTATTGACTTTCGACGCTTAGGCTCCGCACCAGGGCCAAGACCAGCAACAGGAGGCGGAATAGGCAAAGGGGTGGGACACTAGCTGCCGTGCTGCAGCGTGCTCGCCGAGTATGTGACAGCTTGACATCAGCTGGCAGGCTGCTTTGAAGAGGAGCTTATTGAGTGGGGTGCCGAGGCGATCGTAGTCGACGAGCACCACTAGAATCATACGAAAAGGCGTGGCTATGTCTGTGTTTCATCCATGGCTGAGACACTATCTTGGCGCTGAGGCTATGCATCGTTGCAGTTGATTGGGAGAAGGCAGAAGAGGCTAGGACCCCTACTTGGGCACTCTGCCCGAGCCTCACGCGGTGTCCGTATGTGCTGTATTTTGCATGCAGCTGAGGTCAGCCGATTCCATCGTTTCATCAGGCAAGCATGTCTTGGCTTGTTGTCCTGTGCCTGAACACCTATCCGGCTTGCAGGCCCGGCGAGTGGGACGAAAAAGATGCCGAGATGCGGCAGGCTACGTCCCGTGTACCTGCATCATTCACTGTGGCAGTAGTTCGCGTCTGCGCATTGTGCATGACAACTTGACAGCGCTTACTCTAGGAACCGAGCACGACAAGAAGCCACTGCGAGAGCATGGCTCGAAGAGATGTTGATGCCCTGCGGCGAGGCGTTTCCTCCGTCATGCTTCGCTCCTACAAAGGCTCCTCCGCTTGCTTCGGGACTGCATTCCACATACGGCATGGCCGGATCGCAGAATGGCATGTAGCAAGGGCAGGAGATCCACGATGGGAGAATCGGGTCTTTGAGTGTATTTGGCGCAGTCTGGCAGAGGAGACGTGGGGAGACAGGTTCGGCTCCAATTTGCAGGCTCTGGCGTTCAGTGATGTCCTGGCCGATCTCATGGACTGGCTGCCCGAGCCTTTTCCCAGTCGAAGTGTTGCAGCAACAAATGAGATTTTGCATCTTGACCTCGGGGCACGAACACTCACTGCCCTGCGCGAAGAAGTACCAGGAAAGGAAGGAAGAGAAAGAGTCCGGAGGGGCCCGGGAGCTCACCAAAATGCCCATGGGGCAAAGGCGAGTGACAACTGGTCATGGGGCAGTCCTTCTGCGAGGCCAACCCAGTGCGCTAACAATGGCAGCCACAGCCCAGCCCAGAGCGAAGACCGCGAGACAAGACACCAACATGGAAGAAGACATGGCTGCACCTTCGTGGTACTAACACTGCCACTACTACCACGACGACGACGACTGCTACTACTGCGCTCCTGCTCATGCTCCTGCTCCCACGTCTACTCCTACTCCCACTCCCAGTCCTGCTGCTGCTCCTGCTCCTGCTCCTGCTCCGGTTCCTACTTTTCGTACTCCTACTCCTCGTGCTTCTGCTGGCTCTAATCCTCCTCTATCGCTGCCGCTGTTGCAATGCTTTGCCCTGGCCCACATGCAGCAAACAAGTAGGCCAAAGAGCGAGAGAGAGAGAGAGAGAGAGAGAGAGCGAAAGAACAAAGGAGCGCGCTTTTGACTGTCGGTGAGGGGGCTCCGGAAACTAGGGTGTCTGTTAATAATACGGTATTATACGTGTTGTGAGTTGTCGACCGGATGCCACCAGAGTTGCGAGATTGCAATACGCAGACGAAGCAACACTAGAACCGGCGTGCGACAGATGAGGCCTGGGGATTCGGTTTCTTGGTTTACAGGGGGATTTTTACGGTGCAGCTCAGTGGACCTCATCCGTCGAAACAGTTTTCACTTCTACGTGCGCGCTTGCGTGCGGGGGAAGGGAGCGCCATCTCCTTCGACTGTGTGGGAGAAGAAAGAACAAGCCGCAAGAGCCGACATGGAACCAGGCAGCGTGGATGGTCAGCATACACTGAGGACACCGAGGATAAACAGAACCGCCACAGCACACCAAGTGGGGTTACGACAGCAAAGCGCCGAGGCCAGTGTCTCCGGGTGCACGGGGCTTTGCGCGGGTCCGCCAAGAGCTGAAAGACACACGTGCAATGGAGGGAGGCCCTCTCCAATCGGGTGCAGATGGGCTCTTCTGGCACGTGCTCATCCGGGCAGCTCCCGCCCACAGACAGCCGGAGACAGAACGCTTACTGGCGGCAATGCTGGATGAAAGAGCGGAACGGGGAGACTTCCCCGACACTGGCGAGCTGCTTGCACTTTTGGGGGGCCGGCAGATGCACCAACTGGGTGCAAACGCGACAAATGCAGCGGACATGGCAGAGGAACTGATGAGTGACTTGCTGTCGGACGGAGGGGACAATACCAGCGCGCGAACTATGCCGAGCTTCGCAACGACCTGGACGAAGCAGCAGCGGGGGTCAACGTGCTGGTCGGCCCCTACCTGCACAAACTCACGGCACAACCAGCGGACGTCCTCAACCTTGAGCGGGGGAAGCCGGAAGGGAGGATCCGCCCAGACCCAATGCATTACACGTATACCGTGCCAAGCGACGACTACGGGACCTGCCGCCCTTCCTGCAGGGGGACTCTACAAGTCAGGGCACCGTGCCTTGGGGGACCTACCAGTAGTGGCATGGACGACGGAGCACGGGGGAGAAGACGTGGAAGCAGTGCACGAGACTCGTCGCCTACTACCAGAACTTGGCGGGCACCACATGTGAGCGGCCCGAGATACAGATCCCACCGAGGCGCCGCCGACATCTAGACAGTCCCAGCTCCCTTGACCAAGACTGAAGTAGCGGGGTAGTGTTTTTTTCTTATTTCGGGGGCGCCGTACCGTCGTCAACAACGGAGCAGGGACCAGTAGCAACAGTATCCCGAGTCTAGTCACGGTTTGTCGTACTCAGGCTTCCAAGTGGACTCCCGTAATCAGATAGTCTCACCTTGGGAACGAAAACCCTCTACAAGCGGGCAACAACAACCAAGTTCTGGGAGAGTACTCTTCCAGCATAGGGGGACGCTAGACACCATATCGTTGTTGCCCTACCAGCCGAAGCCTCGGAGGGAGCTAGTGCAGCGTCGCAATGGACTAAACCTTTGACGTATTTTAAGGGGAGGACCGTATTCTGCTCTCACAAACAAGCTGCATTTGCATGGGGGAGCTGTTCCGGTGTTTCGAGTAGGGAGACCTACAGGAGTGCCATAGGGGCGTGGAGATGAGGCCTGGGGATTCTTAGAGTCTTCACAGGAAAGCTCTGAACACACCATGCAGTTCCTTGCCGTAATCATTTGGAGCCTCAAAACCAGCCCACTGAATAACATATTGGGGGTTGGGCGGGCCGAAGGCTTTAGCGTCACACCGTGACCCATAACTAAGCCAGCAGAAAGAACGAAAAAAGAGAGAGAGAGAGAGAGAGAGCAAAGAGAGCGATGCAAGATGAGTCAGTAGAAAAAGAGATAGTCGAAGGAGCCAAAGAGCGTTCTTCGATATTTCCGAGGCCGAATTTGCTTGGGGCAGCGGCCTCGGAGCGGAGATTTGCCGATGTCGTAGATGTCAAATCCCATCGAGGGCGAAAGAAATGGCAGGATGGCGCGCTGCTGCCTGCTTCGTTGCTTCGGGGTCATCTGCAATCTGCAACCTGAAACTTTCCCTGCGTGCCCGTCCAGCACAGTGATCAACTGCCGTCGGTTCACCGCCCACCATACTGTATTCACACAGATCTGGACAACTGTCAATGAGATTTTGAACGAGACCCGGAGTCAAAAAGGCGACGGACCGAAAAGAAACAAACAACCACTGCAGCAGCATGCCGCAGCTGTCGTGACGATCTCACAGCTCGAAGTGCTAGAACCGGCCAACCTGGCACAGCGCAGAACTGGGCCGAGCCGCAGAGCATCGCAGAGCGCCACTGAGGTCACTCTGGATGAGGTGATGCCCGAGGATTTTCTTTGGGTCAGTCCCAGGCCAGGCCCACGACTGAGGAATTCCGCGGGTTTTGTTCGCTTCAACGTGTTGTGAGCAGGGATTGGGAGATCCAGAACTTGCTGCCCAGGCCTTGTCAGAGCGTTCCACACATTGGCATGTCGTCATGCTGCCAAGCAGAAGCATGCGTGATGTGATGGGTGGAGGTGTAGCGTGGCTGCAACAGTAATTACCCGATTTGAAAACTGGAACACCGGACGGATCATGATGGCATGGTCGACACATCCTAGCGTTTGGCATCCGGACAGCCAGGACCAGCCAACTCCAGTTGCGTTTGTTGCGAACACTGTGTGTGTGTGTGCGCCCAATAACAACCGCGAACAGCGTGGCTGCCTGCAGCATCCTGAAGCACCATGGCTCGACGCTTCGACGTCAAGAAGCTGTGCCCGAGGAATCAAGAAACCAAACTGCACGTCGCTTCAATCAGTCAATCAGCAATGACAAGTGCTGGGGCATTAAGCGTCCTTGCGCTGCATCCTCGGCACTTATCACTACCGCAGGCGCTGCACGTACGCAGGGGTGGACTGCGGCCTTCAGGTCACCTGCGTCGACTGGGTGTTTGACAGTTTGGGACGCTTGCAGCAGGATTTCTTCTTGCGGCGCTGGTGTTGCCTCAAGGACTGGAATGCTGCATTGGACATCATGTTGTCTTTTGGCATAGGAGCCATTGGACCATGCAACCACGAAGCAAAGCGGAGTGAAAGGGAACGGGCAGGACGTGTTCAGGCAGCACTTTGCTCTACCGAATGAGGCGCGATGGAAAGCTGTGTTTGATGTGGGTAACGGTCCGTCTTCGCTAGGCAGCGCCGAATGGTCTTTCAGCTATGGCTAGATACCTCGGACAAGCTCCAAGCGACAAGGCTAATTCTGCTTTGACTGCGGCCGTGAATCTACAACATTGAATGGCTTCAGGCAAAAAGAACCTTCTGCATGGACGAGAACGCAATCGTCGTGCGAGTAACGCTGGACTGCCTCACCCTTGCTGCCCCTTCGGTGTGCTAGTAGCCAGGTTGTGCTGCTGTTGCGAGGAGCTTGCGAGAAAAGGGTGGAAGCCCACAGCCACTGCGTGGCGGGCATCTGCTCGAATCCTGGAATCCAGCCTCTAAGAAGGACCCACAATTCCACCTTTCTCCTCTCAAGCTCTCAAGCTCTCAAGGTCATGGCACCGACAACCTTTCTGTTGCCCAGACGTGGCGACGTCCCTGCACCAGAAGCCGAGCCGCTGGCCTCAGGAAACGAACACGAGAGAGGGTCGTCCATCTGTGTGTACATGTTTTAATATGTTGTCGGATGACATTGTGATAAGCAACAGGCGCAGTGGCAAGCGCAACTTCTCACAGATGGAGGCAGGCACAAGTCTCTGGTGGAATCCCCTTGCAGTTTGTTGTTCTGGAGGCAGATCCTTTCTCCGCAGGGCCGCCGTTTTCCTGGCACGAGAGAGCTTTTGGCAAAGGGCCACATCCTGACTGGCCGACGAGCCAGGCCATCCAGGCCTCCGCAAGGGCCTCCGGGGTCTTCGACCGGTGTCATTGGTCAGAGACCCGGAGGCTGCAGAGCTAGAGAGAGAGAGCGAGAGAGAGAGTGAGACTTGTCAGCACACTCTGTCCGAGGGGAACATGTAGTCTGCAAGGCAGTTGTAGGTTGTGCGCTTTCGTAGTGTGGTGCCCTGTTTGAAAGGGACAGCTGAAGAGTAGTCGAGCTGTGAATCCGAAGCTTGTTGGCACAGAGCCGGTGAGCGCCTCAGAACGGATGAGGCCTGGGGGATGCTTTAGGTTTAGGATTAGGAGGTTGGGGGTTTAACAGTCCTCGAACGCAGGCCTCATCAAGTTCCGTAGTTTAAGCCGACGACCGACAGGGCGCACTCGTGCGCGGGGGTGGGGGCGTACGCTCTTGCCCTTTGGCTGTGTTGAAGAAGTGTGACTTGCAGCTTTGCAGAGCCAAGGTGCCACGGCCAAAGCTGCCGCAAAGGCCAAGGTCGTCGTTCCTCCTTGGCAACTGTGCCTTGGATGCAGTTTGATTCTTTCGAAGGTGGTGACATGGCACGGTGGAGATGGTGTGAGCTGGTGTAAGCGCCCTTGTCAAGGCCACAGCCACTTCCAAAAGGCCCATCAATGCCTTTCGAAGCAGTCGACTGAAGCCTTCCAAAAAAAGGTGCAAAGCTGTGCACAGCTGTGATGACAGAGCTTGTAGTTTTGCCCTGTCTTGCAGTGCCTCGCTGTGTTTGTGAGCCATCGTTGGATCAGAGCATGCTCTGGTGTCGGGCTAGTCCCCCAGAGCTGCGGCGCGGCGGCGTGCCGCGACCCGGAGATGAGGACGCTAACGGGCCTGAGTAGGGCAACTGTATCGAAGTTGTGGAAGCTAGGCACAGAGAAGACGAGCTGGCTGTGCGCAAACACTTGAAGGCCTGGTCAGCTTGGACACATGCCGGAAGTGCTCTCACATTCTTTGCTTCAGCAGGTCTTCGTTGGAGGACTTCCAGACAAAGCCGACGAGCGAGAGGTAGTTCATTATATGGGTTTGTGACAGAGTTGCATACGGCTCAACTTCTTCAGATCTCACTTCATAGTGAAGTGAACCGCCTGTTGAGGTGCTATTCAAGCTTTGCTTTCGAGCTGCAGCATTTATTATCTTCACTGCGGATTTTTCTGTGTCTTGCAAGTTGGATTCTTCGGCTTGTTGTTCGCCCCGCTTCTCATTTGGGTGCCGCTTTCTGAAAAAGATTGGTTCCGGCAGGTTGTGTCCCCAGCGGTTGGTTGGCCATGGTACCCTCACCTACCATGCCACCACATCGCCACGGTGCTTTGCTGTTTTTGTCCGTCAGTGTATGCTGCTCTTCGCATTGCGATTCTTGTGCGTTCTTCCAGCCCGCCATTTGAGGCCCCAGAGCCCCGAGGCCTCCACAACCCCAGAGGCACTCAGGGTTTAGTTTAGGCCCTCTGCGGGCTTTACGGCTTTGTCAGGCCTCCTACACCCTGAAAACAACAAGACGAATTCCGATGTGCATCCGCGTGCAGGTTGAGCAACACTTCACCAAGCGATGCCCTTGTCTTTGAGCAAGCTCACAAGACTTGAAATTTTCTCTGCGCAAGGTACGGACACGTGGTTCACTGCAATGTCTGCCCTCCGAAGGAGTGCCGCCGCCGAAACCAGTCAGTCATACGCACCTCCTCCGAATGCAGGATGGAGAAAAAAACAAGGCTCCGTCAGGGCCTAATGCTCGTGATGTGTCGAAGACCGACGGTCGCTCTGTCGTCCTGGCCTTTCGTCCTAAGGTACGCCTTCGTGACTTTCAGATTTGCAGCCGATGCAGATTGTGCCGTAGTTGACAGACAGGACTTTCCAGGCAGGCTCAGTGCCCCTTGTCCTGGTGCCGATGTGATCCGTGATGGTGTAAGGTGTTCAGAGGCAGCTGGCCATGGGATTTGCCACGCCCAGAAAGAAGGCTTCGCAAGTTTGCGGTCAGAAAGTGGCAACCAACTCCCTTTTTTAAGAGGACACGGATGAGGAGAAGCAGAAGCAGGACTCAATGCTTAGTGAGGCCGATCCGTGCAAGGCCTGGTGGCTGGCGGCTTGAATCCTTCGCAATCCCGCTTGCAGAGGTCTTCGTGGGTGGCATCGGCGACAGGGATAGTGAAGAGGAGGCCTGCCGGCCTGCCTGTCGACAGCGTGACATGCATCAGCAGATCTGACATTTAGAGATGTTTGCGGCTGAGGTAGGCGATTTTTTCTCTCAGTGGGGTCTCGTCACTTTGGTCTACAGAGACAGAGCGTCGTGGCATTGGCCTCATTCCGACAGGGAGCATAGGTGTGACATCATACACGTACATGGGGACTTCTGTTTATTGATCCGAGGGGCTTCGTCCACTTCGCAACCAAAGAAGCTGCCCTGCGCATTCTCGAGGAAAGAGTGATACTCAGTTTGCTGCAAGAGCGTGGTACGTAAATTCTTCACTGTTCATGTCAAGGCAACGTGGTTTTCCACAGGCGCAAGTTGGACATCAAGGCCTTGATTTTCATTCTCCGAGATTGCATTTGCTGGCCTGTCGAATGTCATCTTCTGGTGCTACACTCTCAAGCAATCTCAAGCATCTGCGCACCCAACCTTTGACGTGCATATGTTTCAGACAAGCCTGTGTGTTGTTCGCTCCTCTCAACATCCGAGTACCTGCAAGCCAGGCCAGGGCTTGAGTCTTCGAGAGCTTTCATTCAGCAGTGTAGAAGTTGAAGCTCGAAGGTAGTCTTCTTGGGGAAGATTTCATGCCGAGTGCATAGATCATAGATCACACAGTCAGAGTTCTCATCGGCATACTTGCTGTTTCCGAGCTTCTCTTTGTCTCTCTCCTAACAGATGTCTGAGGGCTATGTTCTTCCAGTACGGTCTTGGTAGGTGTGTGTTTATCTGCAAGAAGAATTCCACGGAGTGCCTTCAGTCATTTTGAGAATGGCCACTTCCCCAAACCGAGAGCCCCGGCAAATCCTTCGTTTTGTCCCGCACACACCGGTGCCAGCAGGGGAAGACCTAAAGCGGGATTCACACTGGCCTGCGATCGATTAAGCACCAGTGGTTCAAGCACGCCAGCCGCCAGCACCAAACCAGATTCAAGTATGCGCGATTCGACACAAAAGCATTATTGACGCGTGGCCCGCTGTCCGCGGTCTGCGGCCGCCGGCCGATTCCGGTTCGTCACATAGCTTATGGCGATTCCGGTTCATCATATATCTCAAAATATCTCAAACAAGCCCCCTCATTTGGCGATCCCGGTTCATCGGATATCTTAAATTTACACAGACCCCCTCGTTTGGCAATTCCCTGTCATCAAGCACGCCGCCCGCGGCGAGCGCGGCCTGCTGCATCCCGCGGCTTTGAGTTGGGGGCCTTTTCGCGACTCTACGCGGCGGCCGCGGCCAGGTGCCCGGCGACCCCGGCGACCACGCCGTGGCACCTGTATACACTCCGTTGCCGAGCACAGTGCCGATTCACTCTCGTTCGAGAGTCGCGCAGGTTCGCTTAGGATGTAGGGCCGGGGATCTAGGTCGGACAACGAAGAGTGGGAACTTCCAGGGTCAAGTCGGGAGGACGGGTCGGAGTGGGAAGCAGGCTCGGCGAGAGTCCGAAAAGGATCCCAAGAAGCAACGATCTTTTTGTGGCATTCAGTTGTTGTGTACTTGACACCGAGTCATTCCATGCAAGCGCACACTCATTTGCCGGTGTTGAGCTTGATACCCACCCAGGCAATGTTTGGCTTTGGGGTTTTGTAAACAGTCAGTCCTATCAGGGTCGGGAGTTGCCGGAACCACTCACTTCCAATTAACGAATTAACCCGGCTTACTTAGAGTACGGTTCAGGCTTGGGTCTAGGATTGCATTGGGGTTTGGCCCCTTCCTGCTACGTTTCCCTACTCGTTTTGGGAGTTGCAGGGCCTTCGCGAATCCAGGATATCCAGGGCCCCAGTTCTCGAATGCACCGGTGCGTGAATCCTTGTTCCAGTGCGCTATTTCCAGCTCGCAAATCGATATCTCCAGTGCACTATTCGGTTTTCTATTCTTCGCACGGATAAAGCCAAGACGATGCTGGTACTGCGGTATGCATTTACGATTTCATGAGTGAATTGGTTGAACACGGAGCAAATCTTCTGCTCCAATTCTCGAGCTAAGATGTGCTGCCGGCGCTCGGAAGGGTGCGAAGGATCGTGGAGCCGAGCGGGAGAAGCCGCTACCTGGCACGGGTAAGATTGACATGGCATGGATATGCGCGAGTCCACGTCGGTTTTCTCCGACCAGGGATTTTTTCTGTTAAGAGCCTGTGGCTATGGAGATCGTTTGTAACCCTCAGAAACAGGACTTTCCCGACCGCGTGATGGGTGCAGGCTTTACTTCGTCGGGAAGTTCCGAAAAAGATTCACACTACCTGAAATTCCCATGTTTTGACTCTGATTGGTCTGCTGGCCTCGGAGGACGTTGCACCTGTAACTGTGGTGTTTCCAAGTTTGAATCCACACGTGCAGTCGGGTGCAGCCCTGGATTCAGACTGAAAAGTCGCTTCGCAGTTCGCAGCATAGTAGAATGACAAGTAGGCATGGGTGTGCTTCTTCGCTAGCCTTCCCTGAAGACGGAAGAAAGTTTGTGTCTGTGGGACTTAAGACCGTTGAAAGTCTGCATGTCTCTTGTTTGACATGGGCTGGTGCCTCGCCAGAAAGCTTCGGAGTCGAAGAAGACGATGAGCGACGATGAGAGGCCGATCTGAAAGGGCTGTGGAAGTGGATGTTGTTGAGCGCACATATGCGCAGACGTGTCTTCTGAAGGTACGACTTGGTGAAGCGTGCGATTGCCAGGCCAGGCCTCCCATGCAGAAGCCATACAAGCAGCATTCAAAGACGATGTGATTGTCTCTGCAAATTCTCTGCTTCTCTGCCTCTAGGCATTTTCACAAGAAGAGCGTGCAGCATGCCCCACCTCCAGGACCGCATGTGTGTCCCCGTGTCAGCCGAAGGGAACCTTGCTGGTATCGGATTGCAGGCTATCCACCGCCCGGTGGGTATTACCCGTCACGGCCTTCACGGCCGTTGGCCTTTGAGGTGTAAGTGGCATGGAGATCAGAGCTGAGGCCGCCACCAGGCTACTATGGTGCCCCACCACCAGGCTCGCCGCAAATTCACTCTAGCACGGTCCTTGTCTTGTGTTCTGAAGGCTATCCAGGTTACCCACCTCCCAATTACCCACCACCTGGCTATCCACCGCTGCAGCCTGAAGGTTCAACTTGTCGATTGTTGCGGAGTTCTGTCAACAAACACAGCTTAGGTCAAGTGCGTATCCTCCTGTCTACGGATCCCAGTTTGGGCCATGGCTTTCTTTCGCAGGGGGGGGAGGGAGGCAGGGGGTGGGAGCAACCCATAGTTGTTTGGAGGACACAAATATAACAGTGATCGGTCCGTTGCGAGAGAGGCTGTTCCATTGAACCGTTGTTGCTGGTTTCAGCATGAGCTGTGGCTGCTGTCATTAGACTCTTTCATACTGGTACTTCTGTATTTGTAATGAATCAACAACGGTGGTAGATTAGATCAACAATGATCAGCACAATCCAAGCAGGAGAAGACACGCCAAAAAATGACGACCAATTGCGACAAAGCTCGAATTGATTCCTGAGGCCACCCCCCGGTGGGCACTATGCCGCGTACTGCACCTATGGCTGCTTCTAGGAAGCGACGTGCCAACAGAAGTCGGCACGTTCCAGTCAAGGCTTCCGCCTTCTAGTCCGCCACCACCCCGGGAAGGCCCTTTTCCGTCTGACATGTGTTTATGTCCGCCCGGAAGAGTGGCTGCCACCCGTCAGCACTGCCAGCGCCTTCGCCAGCTTCCGACGACCCCTATCGACAACCAGCAGGCTCGTTTGGCTTCGTCCGCGGCGGTCTTTGCTTGTCGCAGCAATCGTGCAAGGAGATCCTTATGCTGCATACGGCAGGGCACGGGCCTTCCAAATCAGCAGCATACTGATTGTAGAGTAGATGTTGCTTGCAGCCAGAAACAACTCGGGATGAAACATTTGAGCGAAGTTTGTTGAAGCTCAAGCATTCCAAGGACAGGGATCCTTACTCTGGCAGCCCGGCATGTTAATTGCACTCCAGCGATGCTGTAGTAGCCCGCCTCCGAGGCTACGACCGCGACAGGGAGCACGATAGATATCGTCGACCAGAGGCAAGCAAGCCGCGAGAAACGGATCCGGCGACAATCGCCACATCCCGCTTGACGAGGACGCTCCGAGTCGTGACCCTTACGCACACCTTTCAGGCCGGTGCCACACACGTCAGAGCAATGTCGGTATGCACACTTGCCTATCGCTCCAGCTGTACAAAGGTTATTATGGACCGCCTCCTGGACAGCCCGAAGGCGCAACTCTTGCTGAGCCATGCCAGCGGTCTCTCCAGAGTACATGGTCGACCAGAGTGTTTGCATGTTATTCTGATTGTAGAGTTTTTTTGGAGTGGACGAGCGTCTTGGCACAAGGTGCTCCTCCGCCTGCTGGTGCGCAGCTTGTCTCAGGGATTCACGAGGGTGCTGCGGAGTGCTCTGGCTTAGGCGTGTACGCATCCTATGCTGTCGACCCAAGATATGAGCCTAGGCGCGCATGTCTTTGTTGCAGAAGCTTGGTTATCGCTCTGACTTTGTTGCTGCCCTGGAGTGGGAGGTATCAGCCTTACTGAGCAGAGAGGCACAAAGTTGACCTTTGCAAGCAGATTCAAAAAAATCAATTGGTGGCAAGATGCATCAGTCCAGGCTGTTGGTCTGAGCAACTCATGTTTAAAAGTATGTTCAAGTGGTTGCCTTTCAACCATCGCGCCAACACGGTCGCACCTTCTCCGGCTCGCATCCACGTGCTAGTTTCGCCGTGACGCGGAGCCCTGCTTGCAGAGCGGTGGGGCCCTCGGGGTACCACAGGTTGCTCCATCCTTTGATCTTTGCCTTGTTTCCTTGGCATGCGGTATTTGCCAAAGAAGAGTCCATGACAAGTTCTGCGGTCACGCTCGTTCTCCCCGAGAAGTGTTCCATTTCAGTCCGCAGCTCTTGCAATGTCTTGCGGGGCTTCCATTGTAAATGCACCACCGAAGCTCAGGACATGGATCTGGGCTTTGCAGGACGCCGTTCGGGCGGCTCGGGGCCGATTGCTGTGGACGTGTGCGCTGCAGGAGCCCTGCCTCGGTGTGGGCGAACTCGCGCTGGCGAAGGCGCGAGATCCGCGAGATGCGGAAAGAGCGAGGAGTCGCTCTTTCCCCCGCCACGGCGTGCGCCGGCCTCGCGATGGCCCTGCCCCTGGCCCTGGGCCCTGGCACTCGTCCCGCTCTCCGTCGCCGCCGGCCGCGGCGGCCGCGGCGCTCGTCGGCTCTCCAAGGCGCGGCTGGCCTTTCGCGTTCGCTGGCCGGGCTGGCGCCTGGCACAGGTCACAGACTTCGTGGGAGTTACACGGCGCAGAATCCGTGCTGCGGAACCAGACTCAGATCTGCCCGTCGAGATTGAGATTGACATGCTGTCCACTCGCAGTCACTGCCAAGCTCGGCAGGTGAGGCTTCGCAAAGCTTCACGGCGTGCCGCAGACGCGTCGGACGAGGCAATGCATCTTCTAGTCTAGTTACCGCAGTAGCAGCCAATAGCAGGCAGCCTGCCTTCAGATCTGCAGGGCGAAGTTGAGTCAACCGATATGAGTTTCCTCCAGAAGCTCATTCAGAAGCAGAGGGAGGCAACAGAGCAAAGAGCTCAGCGGATGCGACCGTGTCAAAGCTCTCACATGTCAGTGCGTCCGAGCTATGAGGATAGGCATATGTACCGAAGACTGGCATCCGGATTTGTTTGATGATGTCCCTGAAGGCAGGGCCGAAGGCAGTGGCTTCAAGCTTCTTGCGGGTTGCTGCAACTGTTTGCTTGTGAGGTTACCGGGATGCTCTCGAGGCCGGAATTGACTTGGTAGACGTGCTCGCCAACGGCAATGCTTTGAAGCTTTTGGTGGCTTGGACTGCACAGTCTGACGGCGGATAGTCATTGAGAGTCCTTTGGATCCTTGCGTTTTCAGGCATCTACGCCTCCAAAGGGATCCACACCTCGATTCTCAGTTCGCGTTGCGCCCAAACCGACATTGGGACTGGTGCCTAGCCTCCTCTTGCAATGGTGCATGATTCAGTGGTGCTGCAGCACCCTACTCCGGCCTTGGCTCATGGACCCCCAGGCTTGGGCTATATAGTCCACAGAAGCGTGGTGCAGCACTATACGGCCGGGTTGCTGCAGTTTCCTTTTGTGCTCCGTTTTCAGCGCCCGGTTTTCAGGTTCTCAGCCCGCTTCAGCAAACCATGAAGAGGCCCCTAAAGTTGCAACGGTCCAGTTGCATGAGTGTGCTAGTCTGCGGCTTGGAGGCTGAATGTCGGGGAGATCGAGACCTTGACCATACACAGCCTGGGTCAAGGAGCATCGTCGCTCTTCGCATGCGGCGCGTGCTAGGCACGATGTGGCGTCTCAGGACGAATGCATTTTCCCTTCTGGGTGCCTCGGCTGGGGAGGACTGGAGCTTTGCAAAGTCCGTGCCGAGTTCAGGTCTACGATGCCGTTGTAGAGGCCTACCAGCCAGGGACCCGGCGTACCCGAGGCATCCCGACGAGGCATCCCCAGGCCACCCAGCGCCTCTGCTCTTTGCCTCTGAGGAAAGGGCTTTGCTCGCGGATCGGTGTGAGCCACCCGAACGCAGACATTAAGTCCGTTCTGCAGGCCCGTCAGGACCGAAGCCGCCGACGCGGTTTTCCGGCAGTGTTCCCCGTGGCTGCGAAGACTTGTTGAAGCTTTGAGGAGTTGGAGAGGCGGGGTGCCACGCTGCCTGGCTGCACATTGGCAACTGTCAGAACATGGCGAAGCCACACATTGCTGTGAGGTTGTCCTGTGCCGGTGCCTCGGAAACCCGGGAGAGAGATGCTCTTCTCTTCGCCTTTGTTCGTCCTTTCAAGAGAAGACAATTTCGCATCTTCATGCCTTCCAATCTCTCACTTTCGTCTGTCATGGACTTAACGACCCCAGAAAGAGGCTGAAATGCTCCGGCTTGGTGGACCTGTCAGTTCTGCTGTGTTTCGATGCGCGCATGCTGTTCTTGCGATTGCTTGGCTCTTCGAAAGGACAGACCCATCGAGTCAAGACAGGGGAATCAGCAAGTAGGATCTGGAATGTGAGAATCTGTGACTGCAGGGAGTGAGAGTACGTGTTTTCAGCCCTCCCAAAGGCTTGTGAGCGAGGGTGATGGAATCATAGCGGACACGTGTCCGGGACCGTAAGGTCTTTGTCAAGCTGTCCTTGCTGCAGCGGGAGGCTACGCTGGGGTGCGAAAAGCAGGGTTTAAGGGTTCAGGCATGTGAGAGCTCGAAGCCTGCAGGCCACGCAGCTGGTCAAAGACTGCCGTGCTGAGGGTTTGCAGGACTCTTGCATGGTGCTGCATGAACCATTTGGCCAGAAATAGTGCCAGTATGCACCACTCTCGTCAGACAAGTGGCCAGGTTTTCGCTACAGAAGTTCTCGGACCGGACGAGCTTGCGTCTGCACCCATGTGCATCCGAAGTCGCTGGGAGTTTTCCTCGCATGATTGCAATTGAGACATCAGGTCTGGGCGCTATACTGCAGGCAATCCCACAGGCCAAGAACGAAGCCACTGGCCCTGGCGAAGACTCCGACTTTGTCTGCAGTCATCAGGTGGTGAGATTTGCGTCCCCCGATTTACTCCAGCGCAGCTCATGCCGTGTCGCTCTTGAGGAAACCGGGGTCTGCAGTGTCGTAACTGTGAGCAGTCTAGGCTCCGGCCGCTTCACGATGCTTTGGAGGAAATCGCACGGGGCTTGAGGCAGGGCAGGCATCTGAACACTAATTATACCGTCTCGCGAGCTGCATGCAATGTATGCTCCTCTGGATGTTTCAGGGTAGCATGCTTGGACCGAGCGGGTTCTTATGAACGTGCTGCAGGAGAAAGAGGGGAATTGGTGCGAAGGGGTTTACAGAGCAGCAATCCCTTCCAGACTCCAAAATGGGGACCTCTAGTAGTGATCTCGCAAATAACCAGCCATTGTAAGCATACGGGTGCCAGTCGTGTTTGTGGTGCTCCACAGGCATCTTATACTTGGGAGGGAGGAGCCTTGTGCGGGCAGAGTCGGGGTGTTCCTTGCAGGTCACGCTGTGAGAAGCCAGAAATCGACACCACGCAGGCTGGACCTGGACGTGTCCGGCAGCCGTTCGCGAATGGCTTTTGCAGGTAGCGATGCAGTGGGTCATCAGCAAAGGTGCAAGTCCACTTTGCGACGTGCGCACCTGCAGAGCGCTTGTGTCATCACTGTCTACTCTATGCTTTGCCGAGCATGTTTCGTTTGAAATGGAAGAGGTCACGACCTCGAACAGTGCCAAAGCAGTTGCCGGATGCAAAGGCAGATCCGAAGAACACGGGGTATGTGCCAGCTGTTTGCCCCGAAGATTGAAGGTCCGGACGGGTGGAAGTTGACACCTGAGGAAGAAGCACGGTCAGAGCCCAATCACTCACGCTTCGTGCACGCACACACACGCACGCACGCACGCACGTGCGCGCACCCACCCACCCACCCACCCACCCACCCACCCACCCATCCACTCCCCCCCTCCCCCCCGCCCACACACACACATACATACACACACACACACATATATATATATATACACATACACACACACACACACTTGCATCATCTGGGCAATGCCGGTTGTCACTTCTTCTTTTGTTGTCTCATATGTCTCTGTTCAGCTTTCTTTGTCTTTTGTTATTCTTTATTAAGGATACATTTATGAACTAATGGAGCCTTTTTGAATCCTTGCACGATTGACAACAGATGATTTTAGCTACATGGTAGATATACAATAAATTGAAGCTGGAATCTCAAGGCTGACATCTAGAAGAGTTACAATCACTTCAGACCGAAAGTGAAACTTGCAGCAGGTACAGAGCTATGCGTCCATAGCTCCTTCCACCTATTCCGCTAGCTTCGTTGGCTGGCATCACGGAATAGGCTGCCAGCCCCCTGCTTTGTGAATATTAATGCATCAGAACTGTAGCTGCGGAATGACTTGAAGCATAACGAATTCACCACTCAAAAGAACTAGGCAAGGTTATGACTCATTCCTTAAAAAAAGGAGTTTCACACACACGCAACCGGTTAGAACCGGTTGCCAACAGAGCATTTTTGTCGTCCGGTTGCCGTCGCCATAACTTACTCTGAAGATGGAACAGAATGATACGAAACGAACAAGCACGGATGCAGGGTGTCCTTTGGGTTGCGAAACGACCTACATTATGCTTGGAAAATCACGATCAGAACGAGATGAAGATGAACACAGCAAGCAACGTCACGTCTTAGGTACGAACGACGTTTTCCCTGCCTAAGCTTGGATCAGCTTTGGGTAACCAATGGTACCCATACTTCTCAGCATGGCTTTGGGTATGCTTCGGATAATCTTCGTCGTGTTTCGTTGTCGTCAATTATGTAGTTATCTAACAAACATTATGAGGCTTGTGAAACCTTTGGAACTCTTCAGACAGCAAACAGCTGTAGCTGTAATACAAAAACTGATACATGTAAGCTTGGACCTCAAGGCTGACTTGCTCCTCTAACTTACTATCGCAGATGTGCAAGGACAACAACACAGCAACCACTACGCGCGCAACAGAGACGACGACGAACAA